CGAATTTTCGAATTTCGTAATTTTTCAAGTGCTATCAGGTCAGAAATTACAGGTAGATTGTAAAAATGAAAACCCGAAGAAAATTGATGCAAAAATACGCCTTCTAGAGCCGATTTTCGACTTTTTGCACATGTTGAACTGTGGCACTTCCGGTTTTGCAAAAATGTTCCAATTTATATTTATGCACATCGTCTCCTATATAGAAGGTCTATGAAATTTGAAACGTACCTGCAACTACTGCAGTCTAAGCTCAGGAAGGTGTGGACGAAACGGAAAAAAAAAAAAAAAAAAAAAAAAAAAAAAAAAAAAAAAAAAAAGAATTGACATTTCGATAACAAACTGGGACTTTGCTGAAAGCAAAGTCCCACAAAAATGTATTTTTTTTTAAGTTTTGTCTACTTGATAATTCATATGTCAAATCCTTGTGCGAACATCAGTTTGAAGAAATTGGAAAGAATAGACCTAATAATTAGGCAATAAAACGCTATTTGTAAGATTGGGCTTCTCTTTTTCCACACAAGGAATGATCATGGAAATAACACAAACCTAAAGTAGAATAATGTTTCTCATAAAGCTGCAAAGCCTACTCGATCTGTACAATATGATACTTAAGTATTATATTGCGAAAGCAGTTCTCTAGTTTTCTATCGCGACGATTTTTTGCAATTCTAGTTTTTATTGCGACAGCCTTGTCAATGTTTTGTTGATAGTTTCACAAAGAGAGTGTTCTATCGCGACAGGTTTGTTGGTACTTTCAAAGGGAGGGGATAGTATACGACAGCGCTGTAAATCGTTTTACTTAGATGGGCTTTGTTAATCATTTCACTGAGAGAGGGTTCTAGTTTGTGGATCACGACGGCTTGCGTAATCGGTTTGAACTATGTGAGAGGTTCAATTGCAACGGCTTTGTTAATTACTTCACTGAGAGAGGGTTCTATGGCGAAGGCTATTTTAATCGTTTCACCGAGAGGGTTCTTTCACGACGGCTTTGTTATTCGTTTCACTGAGAGGATCCTATAGGAATCATAGCTTTAATTGAGTTTCATTTGGAAACTACTTTCTTTGTAGTTTCAATAGGAGGAGACTTTGTTGTGAAGGCTTGTCAACAGTTTCAGGGGTTCCCCGGAGACGCCTTATTTAGTGGTATGACAGGAGGAGGTTCCATCGCGGCGGCTTTGTTGGTTGTTTCACTTGAAGGGGATTCTATCTCTGTGGCTTTGTTAGTGTCACTTCGAGGGGATACCATCTCGGTATCACGTGGCATCGCGTCTGTGCTGAAAGTTCCTAAAATAGGAGATTCGATTGCAGCGACTTTGTCGCCAGTCTCACTAAAGAGGGGTTCTATCGTGGCGGCTTTGTTGATGGTTTCAGTTAGAGGAGACTCTTTCTCTATGGCTTTATTAGTGTCACTTCGAGGGGATACCATCTCGGTATCACGTGGCATCGCGTCTGTGCTGAAAGTTCCTAAAATAGGAGATTCAATTGCAGCTACTTTGTCGACAGTTTCACTAAAGAGGGGTTCTATCGTGGCGGCCTTGCTTATTGTTTCACTTAGAGGGAATTCTACCTCTGTGGCTTTGTTAGTGTCACTTCGAGGTGATACCATCGTGACATCACTTGGCGTTGCGGCTATGCTGAAAGTTCCTAAAAGAGGAGATTCGATTGTAGCTACAGTTTCAGTCAAGATAGGTTCTATCGTGACGGCCTTGCTTGTCGTTTCGGTAGGTGGAGATTCTATTGCAATGCCATTGTTTACCGTTTCACTTGGGAACTCAATTGCAGGGGGTGTGTTCAAAAGTCCACTTAAAGGATACGCTTCAGTTGTGAAACCGTTGACGATACCATCAAGGGGAATATCAATAACGTCCCCGTTTACATCTTCTGCAACATCCTTAATAAAGCCATGTGGGCCCTCCACTAGGCCTACTTCGTCAAGTTTTCCCACCAAGAAATGTCCATTATGTCGAGGTACGGTTGGGTTATTCGAAGGAGTAACTAAGTTTGGAAATCTAGAATTTAGATGTCGGTTGGATTCATCTTGACTCATTCCTCTTAGTTGAGCAAAATCGTCATGTATATCTTCTGAACGAATGGGGAAAACGTGATCACCAATATTATCTTTTAAGTTCAATCCATGCGTCCTATGTCCGCGGAATACAAAAGGTACGCCAGCATTATCATGATTTGAATTTGTTTGATCAGATGTTATAGTTCGGAGTCCAATTGCCGAAAGATAGTCATGATTATTGTGCGAAGCCTGAACATTAACCAGATGTTCTTGATCATGCGACGGTCTTGTAAAAACTTGATTAATTATTGGTTCTCCAAAGTTATTCTGTACTTCCTTAATATGTTCATCTAAATGCTCAGCAGCATCAGCTTCTTCCGGAAACAATGGTGTTCCACGAATCACAACATCATTATTGTCCAACTCAGAATCATATGGCATCTCTTCACTATCGAAAAAACCTTTTAAATCATCCTGTTCCCTGTAGCTCTCAATAATTTTCTTCACTATTGTTGATATTTCTTCTAATGTGGGATTTTCACTCATTTCCTCAGAATCTTCACCCCCAAACGCTTTAGGTACATTCAGAACATTATCATCATCAAAATCTTCTTCGGTTTCGGTGCTCAGTCCACTTTCAGATTCACTTAAATCAATCATTCTGGGTGTAGGCATTTCATTTTCAGAAGCCTCAATTTCAAAGTATGGTTTCATCTTTTCGTCTTCGTCGTTACTGATATATTCTTTCATATTCCCTAACACTTCCTTTAAGATCTCAATAGACGCCTCTGATTCCTCTGCTTCTGTAAGTGGTTCGACAAGATCTCCGACTTTTTCTTGAACTTTTTCAACAATATTGTCACCCTGTTGGATGAAAACAAGAGCAGATAAAACAAGGTTTTGACAACAATGGTCTCGTAATCAGACTAAGGCTCGAGGATCGTTTCAACAAATCCATGACAGATACTCTTTGGCGGATTCTAGGTTTATTGTCCATCTGCTGCCGAGGCGACAGGAATGTGTAATCAGGAAATTGCAGAATACAAGTTCTGGTACACATTAAAAGACCAATATAATACCTTATCTGGAACACCGGTCTCGTTGACAACGGGCAGACCATCCTTCAGTGCCGAATTCAATTGACCATTAGGTGGCATAACTTCAACTGTCTGAAATACAATACATGTAGATGTAAATAGATGTATAATATACTATATTATAATAGGCAACATAAAACAGTATACGATGGTTCGTATTATTTTTTATTTTTTTATGCAAACGTCTGGGAGCCTTTTTCTATGTCGGTCCCTCCTTCCCACAAGGCAAAAGAGGGAGTTGACTGTAGAACATGCACAGTGGCCCAACAAGATGAGAGGAACCCCGTAGACTTACTTTGATTGGGGCCCCTCCCCAAGATAATTTTAATGTATTATGTATTCGGGCCTTCATGGTTAGTCATAGCGCATAACCCTTAGGGGTTGGGGACCTTGGACAACATTCCCTATGATCAGCCCCGTCGCCGGGAATGAATTGGGACTGGGGCTCAGATTTTGTACTCAGAACTCATTTCTATCCATTTTGAGGGGCCAAAAAACGTATCAAAATTTTGACACTCTAAATGAATCCATCTCTGCTAAACTGAAGAAGGTTTTGCTGGGGCTTTAATTCAAGCCAAGCCCCCACGGACCTCACTCTAGCGACGGGGCTGCCTATGATAGTTGAGCCACTGACTATGCAACCGTGAACGCTACTATAATGTGAAGTGACGAACTTGTATCTTCAACGCCTCATGCTCGAATTCAGTTCAGGTCATTTTCAAATCTCACCTCTACTGGTAAACTTCTTTTAGAAAAACGTAAACCAACTAGAACTGTTGTCAATCCTAGCACTACAACAACAACACCAATAATCAGCGATTTGATAAAATTACCATTGCCAGGTGTTGGTTGAGACGATTCATTCGCTACCTTAAAAATAACAAACAACTTTAATGAATGCCTTAATACAGATGACCTGACGTCAAATTTTCATATTGGAAGGTCAAACAGGTAGTAAAGATAAAACCCACCCTTTGGAACAAGTAAGACGAGTATTTTGACTTCTTATATCTACAAGGGCATGACGTTGCCTACTAAAGCCTAAATTTTCATTTGCATTGTCATTTTCCTGACAATTATTAGAAGTTCCGGATATATTGTTGACATTTTAATGTGTAGGTCTACTAACAATAGAAATCGACATTTCCTTGAAACTCTTAAAGAGACTGGTTCGCCATTTTCGGCGATTGGTTTGGGTTTTGAATATAATTGTATACGTAAATAGTCTTTAGCAAAAATGTGTGAAAATCGCTTAATTCCTTCAAAAATATACTCCACACTATGAATTTCACTTTCTTTTTCTATATGTCTTTTCTGTATATGGTAAAATCTCAAGACAAGTCGTCATTTAACTTTCAAACGCGGATAATTATGGACATGGATTTGAAGACTCAGTCTGTGATTATCTTATTTAAACAATTCCCAATTCTCTGATAGGTCAAACGGTTGGCGAACTTGTCCCTTTTATCTGTCTGATACTTTATTTTATCGGCTGATAAAATTTTATCTCAACGTCACAGAGCATTTTTCATAAGAGATCGTCCAAACTACTTTTCTGCTTGGGACTTCAGTTACTGGGGTTACAACTTTGGGGCAGACTTTTTAGATGTGGGAACAACTCGAGGGTTAGCTTAGCTAATGTGAAGTGTTGTGGAAGCCTACCCCAAAGACAAATTTTAAATCTTAAAATTGATTTGGTGCATCCTGACATTTTACATTTTTTGGAAATTTCGTAGAAATGAAGTTGGGGTACAATAATTTGTGGTAAAAACTATTTATCAGATTCTTACCTCGACATCAACAGCCATGTTTGTTATTATTATTAAAATAATTTCGTTATTATTTTCGTTACTCCGATCAGCAGACCACGAATGTTCCACACAAACTGTATCGTATGAAAGTTGTAATTATAACTAACGAAAGGTACACATGACAGTTACACAGACATAATGTGTGACATTTTCAAACACGTCAAATTTTGCATAATTTGTGAAATTCTTCAACATTGATGTACAGAATTCATAAGATATACGACATTTTATTAGTGTTAACTTATTCTATTGAAAAGACATTTATATGCAGATGTCATTTCCAGTATAGGATATGATTTGAAATAGAAATAGATTCGAATGTGATATGAAGCTCAAAAGTACCGTGGTTCATGTTAGCACATATTTGTATTTTTTTGAAATTATGGGTTAACTATTTAACTTTTTTATTTACTGTCTTGTCAATTCATTTTTAACTGAATACGCTTTTTTACCTAATTGAAATGCGTAATTCCAATTCATGAGAAAAAAATTATCTCCCGTTTCAAATGCAGAAATTAATTCTTAGTATAATGTTGCAAAAATGACAGGATCATTGAGTTGATCATCATCATTAGCATAATCAGGTGCAGAGCAAATAGGACGTAAAAACCGTTTCATTTCATTACAATCAGAGTGGTCGGTAAGTGGTGATGAGTAGATACACCATTGTTTGAGGAAATAGTAATATTACAGACACCCAGATTTTATGCGAGACTGTAGAAAATATGACTAACCGGAAGTAAATTCGTGGATATATGTTTTGGTAAAAAAAATTCTTGATTTGTCTTCAAAACTTATAATTGCTCTCCTCTGTACCACTGACAAACTTCTGAAATATTAGCCCCAATCTACATTATTTGAATCCTTGAACTGGGCAAGACAAAATGGCTCTGTAACCTCTCAGACTCAATCGAAAGTCAACTGAAAGCAGTTGTTGGAAATTGTTGGATTTGGAAGGGTAGTAGCAGTACTCGCTGACTAGGCCTACATTGAATTGAATTTTTTTTTTCTCTCATATCATAGATATTCAAAGTGAAATTTTCAAATGTATGCCATTTGTATTAGAATGTCTTCGGGTCCATAGAACTAAAACTAGGTTCAGTGATTTTACATTTTAAATTGATACACCTCCCTCCCAGAAAATTCACTTAAAAATAACACACTTTTCTGGCTGAAAATCCCTCTCTGTAAAATCCTGTTAAAAAACATAACTTTTCATTTTCATCAACCCAAAGAAAATGTAAGATTCTCAGTAGTATTTTGTAGTTGATATTTCAATTCATCGAAAAATGGTTGACAAATTTCATTTCAGAAATCATTGTCGTCTTAATGATACTTAAGAGGAGTGGTAGAGGGGTTGTTATAATGGTTATGAATGGCCATGAGCTTACTGTTTCCCCATGTCAGTGATTCAGGTCAGGGGGCTGACATGGAAAAAATTGTCTAGTTGTTCACATCCTTGCACGTTAAAGATACCTCGACAGTTTGAAAGTGATTAGGCTACTGATGCTGTCCTGGCAACAGTTTCCTAATGCACATTGATTCGTTAACCGTTTACATTAGCCAATAAGTTGCAGAAAAGTAGGACGTAAATCATTTCATTTTTCATTTGTACCTAAGCTCCTTTTTTCATGTATGCAGTTTATTACAATTAATGTAGTGATTTGTTATTCTGAAATATTGGTGTTGTGATTTGTGCCTACAGTCGGATATAGAGTGTTTCTACCAGTAGGTGTAGTTCAAACGATGAGTTTATTGCAAATTCATATACTTCTGTGTCTCTTGTTTCAAAAGTTTTTTTGTTCTTTGCAGATGCAGACTTAATTATGAAGAATATGCTACCAGTACTTATAATGAATTAGTAAAATCTATGTTTTGTACAAAAGTGTAAAAGGTGAGGTTATTATTTTAACTGTCTATATAACAGGATAATTTTGTCATGTTCTATAAGAATTTGTAAGAATTTAGAATTTTGTGTCTGATAACAAATTAAATCTATCTATAGAAATAAGTAATAATAAGCTATTATTGACTTGTATCATCTTTGAGAATACTTTGCAAAATAAAACTGAATTTTAGAGTACAAATTGAAAATGATTTTATTGCATGATATGCATATTACAAAATGAGATATAGATGTAAATTGTTATTTATTATGTTCTTGTAGATTGGTGTTTACATTTATTTTATGTTCGTCATTTATTTTTACATATTTTTACTAAATGATTTTAAAGGAAGGGTCATTCCAGGTCAATTTACGCCAAAAAAACAAAATTTTAACCCGACCATCATCGATTTTGATGAAACTTAGCAGAGATGGCAAAACCTCAAATTCCAAATTTTATTGAAATTGCGTCAGGGGTCAGAGAGATATTTGACTTTTTCGACAAATTTCGCTTTAAACCTCCCAAACTCCCTAGTTGTAAAGAGATGTAATGAGAGTCATAGGATATAAAAAATGCCTTAGATTCCAATTCTGCCTTATGATTCGGCCTATCTGAGTGTCAGGAAGTGTTTATTGTTTTCGGTGACTCTTGACCTTTACCCTGTGGGACTTTAAAAGACCTATTGGTGGTGACCTATGATGATGTAATCATGACTGTAGAGTGGCAAGACTGAAATCTGGCAGACCAAATCAAGTATCTGTATTGTTTGTGACCATGCAATATTTTATGACACCCATTTTGTAAGACAACAGGTTTAAAAACTTAAGTATGTTCCAAACTGGAACAAATTATAAAAGAAACACTCAGGTTCCTCATTCGTTTGACCAATCATACCTTTATCTTAGAAACAAGAATTTTTTAGCAAACCTGATCATTGATAGTCTTCATAGGTCACTGTCAGTATTCGAGCCTTCAAATCCATCTGTGTTCAGAATTTGACAGTTAAAATGACGACTTGTCTTTTCTTGAGACTCTGCCATAGAAAAGACATATATATAGAAAGTGAAATTCCTAATTTGACGTAATTTTGAAGGAATTATGCAATTTTTGTACATTTCTAGTACTACTGAAGCAATTCCACAAAAACTGTGTTTGATGACGTCACTAATTGTGAAGGGCCTTATGTGGTAGAAGCATATTTTGCGATTAGTGATGTCAGAAAACACTTATTTTTTGTGGAATTGCAAGAACCACAGATGTTTGACTCTTTAGAATCCCTTTTAGTATGTGGTTGGATGTCACCAAGTCAGACCAACTTTTGAATTCATTGGTGTTTTGACACTATGAAGGCATCCAATCATATGAATTGATTGTATATCACTGTTATAATTATGGACCATGCAATGATAATGTACTGCGTAGGTTATGTTAGTCAATTTGACCTACTTTCATGATAGATTCTACTGATGTAGACTATCAGCTGTTACCAATGGTAGAACTTTCTCTTTATTATATTATTACTATACAGATGGATTGAACCTTTTGACAGATTTTCTAATCGTAATAACATGTTTCGATATTGCAACTCATCTAAAAGCCATCTGACACCTTTTAAGAATTAGTGCTATGGTAATTATGATTATGGTTTGACTTGATAACTTAATGTAACAGATTGGACTAACTCTTTAAAGTATCTGTCATATATATGGCACATTAGGAATTTCAGTGAACTTTTTGATTTATTTAGTGCATATAAGCTGAAGCCAAGGTGTAGAAAGGTCATTGTTTTCATTTAACAAAAGAAAAAGTAACAGGATTTATTAGCAGAATGATACATGATATTTGTTATTGTATATTGATGAGAATCGATGATCTATGGAGTTATAGATGTGTAATAGATTAAGTTGTATATATGTGTATATCTAAACTTTTTTGAATAGCATTTAACAATCAGGAATATCAGGAATAAAACAAAATGAAATCCTTTTTCTCAGCATTAGGTAAGATGAAAATTATTTGCCATAATTAATATGAATATTGTATGCTATTTTTTCATATTTCATGTTGATTGCTTTAATATGGTGGGAACTGGCTTGCTTATATCTAATTTTAATCACTCTAATATTGGATATTTCTCTTCTATTAAAGCCTGCTGTCCTTTGGATTCTAATGGCACAAGCATACACAGCTTTGTATGCCTCTTACATGGAAATAACACACAAACATAGTTCACAACTATTTTGAATCTCTTCCTCGACTTCATAATATTTCAAATCACATTGAAAGATTTAGAAATGTCTTTAAATGTGATTTGAAGGCTTTGTTGAAACATTGTAGTCTTTATAGAATTTTGACTTATTAAGTTGAAGAAGTGATACTTAGTTTCTTATGATGGCTCTAGTTGACAATAATTTATAATACATCCGTTAGATATGTTATATACTATCTTTATATTATATATATATTGTTAAGTACTGTGAAGTAACTAAACTTTGCTACCACTGAGACTGATAATAAGTGTTATTAATGAAATATTTCATAATTTCCAAGTTTTTATTGTTGCATGTGATTGTTGTTGCTATTTAATTGTGTGAGTGACTTATATAGACTTTAACCAGATTAATTATAATTCTGATCATCTCTGAAATCTTGATGATTTAAACAAAAGAATTATTTTCTGTGTTAGATGCATTTTTTGTCTAATGTTTTCTATAGAAAAGGTTTATTTTTTGTTGTAAAATTCACATTTCATATTGGTTTTTGTATATATTTGCAGGAATCAATTCCAAGATGAGTATGTTAACAGTAGAAGAATGTGAATTACTGAGTGATTCGAAATATCGTTCCTATATAAATCAAGTAGATAAAGCATTAAAAAGTTTTGAATATACCAGTGAATGGGCTGATTTGATTTCAGCTTTAGGAAAACTTAATAAGGTATGTATGTATGTTCATTTTGTAATAACCTGTGCTACTCTGCTACTGGCTATCCTACCACAAATGTCTGAATCAATACTTGATAAAAACGAGATAAACCTGGCTTATGTTGCCTGAAAAATTAAAATCATGTCAATTACTAAATGCCAGTTAAGGACATATTCTTTTTGGAGAGTCCATGTTCTAATTTTGACGGTAAGCTGTGAACATCATTACTGATTAGTTTAGAGGAACAATTTTAGTTTCTGAGACCAAGTTACGATTTATTCCCTGAAATGTCGTACCTGTCCCTTTAAGGTTGTGGACAATGTTCTTGTGACAATTGATCATATTTTGCACAGATAGATATTAGATTTTGATAGCATTGAATAAAAATCAATACATGTTTTGATAATTCAAGTTTTTCCAATATTAGTTAATTTAAGTCTTTACTAGTCACCTAATCTATAGAATAAGTTGTAGGTTGATGTAGCTTTGATTTGAAATATATAGATTTAGATAAGTACCGGTAGCTAGAATATAGCCCAGCAGATGTTGATTCTATGTTATATATATTTATAACCAATGTTATAGTATAGAGAATAATTTATGTAGCAGGCATCATTAATAATTTATGAATGAATTTTTTATATTAATAAGTAATATATTAAACAGTTTTATATTCAACTGTACAAAATATTTATATTCATTTAGATATAAATTTAACTTTATCAGTTGCTAAAGGAAATTATTGACTGTCAGATTCCCTGATTCAATGAACAATCCCTTTACATCAGGGCTTCTGATTTTAAAAATTCCCAACTTGACATTTTAACTTTTTCTCAAGAATGCATGAAAAATCTAAAAATTATAGCTGCATTCAAAATTGTCATTTTGAGCTCATATCAGACATTTCTGGCAAATACAGCAACTACAAATAGATTACATGTAATGGAAGTATTGCCATATGTCATACTGTGTCACTGAAATCCTAAAGAAAGACTCTCTACAGACTGGAATTATTCCAGAACACTGACATGATGTATTTTAAATTGTATGCTGCCATTTTGTCTCAGTTTGTGATGTTTTAGAATAGATAATTATTTATGTACTATTGGTTAAAGATGCTGTATATCATATTTTACTAGGTATTGTTGTCACATATTAAATACCCTGTTATACCAAAGAAAGTGACCATTGGTAAGAGATTAGCCCAGTGTTTACATCCTGCTCTACCTAGCGGAGTTCATCTGAAGGCATTAGAAACCTATGATATCATATTCCGATGTATCGGTACACAAAGATTGGCTCAAGATTTATTTGTGTACAGTGCTGGATTATTCCCCTTGTTAAATCATGCTGCTATGAGTGTGAAACCTGTATTGTTAACGGTTTATGAGAAACATATAGTGGCTTTAAGCAAACATATTAAACCTGGTTTAAATGGTTTATTAATTGGTTTACTACCTGGTTTAGAAGAAGGTGCTGAATTTTATGATAGGTATGTTACCGGTATTTTATTTAATGATTTAGATATTTTTTAAAGACTTGGAAATTGATAAAAATTGCTTGCCATATATTGGAATTTCAATAGCTGTTATGACATCCTAATATAATTTTTATCAGTAAGAGATATGATGCCAAATTTTATTGAAAATACTTCATGTGCATTAAATTCTCCAAAGTTGCAATGATATTCAAAAAGCCCTTTAAACTGTGTTCTGAAATGTAGTAGAATTGGCTAAAAGTTTCCTAGCAGTAGAATTATATAGAAGTAACTTACTTGTATATCTATCTGACTATGCTGTTATAATATTTCAGAACCAATTTATTATTAGAAGAATTCCGTGATGCAGTCAATCCTGAGTTTTTCTATACATGTATGTGGGAGTGTGTTTTATCTTGTCCTAGTGTCAGACTACCAGCCATTACTTTTCTACTCTCACATTTTAACAAGAAGAAATCTATGGAAGATCAACTTCCTATGATGGGCCTAAATATCGACTTAATGGTAAAGGATTTATTCTACTCTATTGTATTTATGTATTCTCAAAACGATCTTAGCGCTAGGATGTCCTAGGTTTATATCTTCTAACAGTGATTCTAGGAGATTCTAGCGAGATGTTGTGACCTGATCTCTATTTCTGAGCTGATGACAAGTGGAATTGAAATGTAAAAAATTAAGATGTTTATCAAATGTATCTTACAGTTTGCTGTAATTGACCAATACCGGTAGACCAAGCGTCTGTAAAGTGTTTCTCAAAACTGAAACTCACAGGTTATGCTCATTCAAGATCCTTTAATTCTAGGAAAGATATTTTATTCAGCAAGATATTGATGATTAAGGTGATAGATAAGAACTGACACAGTGTTAAGGTTGTGTTTAAATCAAATCATGCTGACATACAATGAACTATATTTAAGTCCATTTGTGCTGATACAATTTCCCTTATTGTGCACTGCATTATACCAGGTTTCATTGAAGATACACAGATTCACATATGTATTTTTCAGGTGCAAGCACTATCTAGTTCTATACAAGACAGCAGTGTATTAGTACAACGAAGTTCTTTAGATTTTCTTCTACTAGCATTTCCCATGCATAATGCACAACTTACCAAATCAGATACTGCTATAATAGTACAAGCTGCTATCAATGTAGTCTTACGACGTGATATGTCATTGAACAGACGGTTGTATGGCTGGTTATTAGGGACTAATGCTCCATCATCCAGTCTTCCAGAAGGAATTCGTCTAGTACGGTCAGACAGTACATCTACTAGTAGTGAAATGGATTTAAGTTACTTTCAACATTATTCTAAAGATTTATTAGTACAAGCTATTAGAATGAAACTAGCGTACCCTGACGACTGTGAAATGAAACTAGCTGGTGTTTCTAATATGATGAAACCATTCAGAATTATTATAAGTTTATTAGATAAACCTGAAATAGGTCCAGTTATTATTGATCAGGTCTTAATGTCGGTATTTAAGTGTTTATACAAAGAATGTCAAAAAGAAGGTTTAAACAACAAAAACATGAAACGTACTAAACCGAAATTGAAACGTCAAGATAGTGGAGGTGATAAAGGTCCAGCAGCTGAATTGATTAAAACTGCTAATCTATTATTCGGATCATTTGAACCGTATTTTATTTGGGATTATTTAGCACGTATGTTTGATCTAGCTTGTTTAAATGCTAGTGGTGAAAGTATTGAAAATGATAAACATGATGATCTGGTTATAACAGAATTGTGTGATATAGGCGAATTCTTATTGGACATTATTTCGTTGGTAAGTGATTTACTTATGATGAAATTCTCCAAGTACCTTAGAAAAATTCACATAGTCTCCATTTTATGAACTCAACAATTGTTGCTTATTTACTACTAACCCAGTCTTTCAGGGTACAATTACCACTATAAGTCCAGAAATTTTTCAACCTTGTCATCGAGGCATGACGAAGGGTTGATATAGAAAAATCTTATAGTCCGTCTTTAAGGCAATCAAATAGGGTTGTCGTTGCTATGGGTTGTTAATGTGAAAGATTCCGAAAAATTTGAGAATATAAAAATATCAAAAAAGAGTAGGCTGATGTCTATATTGTGGCACCAAATTATGGCAAAATAATGGTTTTAGCAGAAACATTCTAGAACATTTGACTAAAAATAGCTAAGGTTATCCAATCAACAGCCTTTAGGTCACTCATTTGTCCTTATCTGTTACAAACATGATTGTGATGTATATTTGCCCTTATTTGTTTCAAATGTAATTATGATTCATATTTGCAGGAAACGTATCAAGAAACTCAAACTGAGCACCTTCCAGAATTATTACGTCATATAATATCATCTGTTACTACATACTGTCATTCTATAACAGAATATGATATAACCTCTACATTAAAACTCTGTAGTAAAATATTCACCAGAGTACAACCATCAGTAGCTGTAGTAGATTTAGAAGATCAAGACAGTAAGACTTTTTCTCAATCTGATTAAAATCGAAACCTGAATCTTTCATATTGTGTTTTTTCTGCAGGTGACTCCACTAGATATCCATGATCTGAAGAAATCATTAGGTACTCATGTTCTGGGTCTTTAGATATTTAACCAATCAAACTCTCTGTTCAAGATAACTTTAAGCTTACTTTTTTTAACCTGCAGAAAAACACACAAGTAATGATCAATATTGTTAACATAATATACTCCTAAAGTACATTTTGGAAAGTTAACCTCCATTTCCAATTAGGCTGTCCTGATGAGGATTGTTTGTATCAAATATTTGAGAGTCCTTATATTTCCAATCCATCTGTTCTGATGGTGGATTTTATATTCAATATGCTTGTACTAAATATATCAGCTTGGTGTATATATGAATACTGATAATTATCCTGTTTTTAGGTTTTAGTATAAGTGGAGTAGGAGAAATATTTGAAGATGTCTATAGATTAAAACTTGAAAAATTAAATGGAGACAAATCTGAGCCAACCCCTGAAAAAAAAAATTCTGAGAAAGACAAAGAAAATAATAATGAAAATCCTGACAAGAAACCAGCATTGCCTGATAGAGATTCTGGAATTTCTTCATCATATTCTATTAAACAATTAGGCACTGGAAGCGCCAATGAAGGAAAGACAACTCCAAACAATGAAAAAATAGTAACAGTTGGTGAAAATGAAAGTAGCGATAAAGAAGCAGAAGACAAGGGTGATGTTTATTTCAGTGCAGAAGAAAGTCCAGTCAAGAAAGCTTCAAATTTAGAGGATAGGAAAAGTGATATTGAGAAATCTGGAGAGGAATCAAAATGTAAGGAACACAAAGATGGTGTCAAGGCAACAGTAGACACAGTTAATGATGCAAAGAACATGAACACCACAGACCAGGCCAAAGATACTAGCAAGAAATCCATATTAAAGAAATCCTACTCAAGTGACTCCCGTACTCGTAAAGGGAGTGTTCGTTTGACCACTATGCAAAGTTGTATAGACAGTTACTTAGAACTATTCCACACCTTAATCTGTGATAAAATATTGAAAAGTTTTACTGTGTCTGCAAAATGTATGGAAGCCTTGATCACCCAGCTTGATCATACTAAATTAAAGGAGAATGATTCTGTTCTGGATAATAATTCTACATCAGAATTTGAAGAGTTTGGTAGTAAAGATTTGTCTGGTCTTGAGAAGTTAAAGATTTCACCAGCAAGTTTAAGTGAAGCCAGTTACCAAGCGTTTGATAAAGCTTGTCGTTTGCTGGTTGATTTTGCTAGTTTCCCAATTTATTGTACAGATTTTATTAAACTGATGGGACAAACTATGGAAGATGGTAAGTATTTGATTGTTATCTGTTCCAACATGAGAATGCTCTACCAGCAAATTTGGCATCATGTTTTAGAAATTTATTCTGTATCCATTTTCAGAAATTAGATAAGTGATTTATAGAGCTTTATTGTGTAACATCCATGGAAAAAAATGTGTTGATATCATCAGAGATGTCCTTTAGGCTTTTGTTCTTTGTAAGAAAGCCTTCTTTAGCCCAGCATAAAAGCAAACCAACATTTAACTCATATCATTTCTTATGTTTCAGAGCCTGATTTTAGTTTGCCAAAATGGTTGGAAGATTTGATTACCTGTAGTTGTTTTTTCCAAAAGTTTGATATCCAAACATCAGCTATATCGACAATGTTGGATCTGATTAATTTAACACAATCTTTACAATCAGAAAGTGAAAGTAAAGGACAAAATTTCCAGTCTACTAATGAAGGCCGTATATCTGTTGTTATACTGCCAGCATTATTACCAAGTCATCTGAAATTTATCAACTATAATACCATGTTCTTTCAGGTAATATCAATATTGCAAGCTAATCGGTTGTTAGAAAAAATAAATGATATTATTTCACAAATTTCTAGCTAGCAATATAACATTGGTCCATTGGAGACAACATAGAATATATCAATGTTTGGTTAAAGAAAAGTATATAAAATAGAGTCAATGGATTAAGCCAGTGCATCAAGACCACTTAATTTTGATACTTAAAGCATAGTCTATAAAGAAACAAAAATGTGATGGTTATTCGAATCTGTGACCACTTTAAAAGATATAATATCTTCCTAATGATCTGTCAATTTGTTTTTGACTGAAGTTTTGTTGTTTTAGGTTGTTGCTGGTGAACTATGGCAGCATCTTGGAGAGAAAACTAGTTCACGGCACCAGAAAAGTGTGGAATTATTTTATTTCTTACATCAAGTAGCACCAAGTTCTTGGATCTGTGAAGATACAGTAGGTTCAGCATTAGTAGCCACTGATGAGGTATGTACATCCTCTTGATAAAAGATAACATCAATGATGAGAAAAATAGCTGCTTCTTACCAGCCATTCCTGGAGAACTCTAGATATTGTCTATCCCAGACTATCCTGATCTTGACTAAAATAACCTGTTTCCAAACAAAAGTAAATGCTACTATTCAAATTTCATTTGTAGGTTTTAGAATAATTTATTAACTCAGTTTATCAAATAGTTCAATATTTCATATTTTGCAGAAAACCAGAATAGAAGCATTTAAAAGGTTTACTGTATTATGGCATTTGACAAGAGATGGTAAATTAGATGTTAAGCCTGGAGCTGGTATTAGAACATTCGATAGGTAAGTTGTTGATATTTTTGAGATTATCAGTAATAACCTCGTACACAGTTAAATGACTATATTAAAGGTCTGTTAGGAGGTGTATCAGAGACACTGATATTAGCGATTTGCACCATTCCAATACTTAATCAGACCTCTGTGGTTTCTACAATTTCTCTTTAGCTAAGCTTTTTTGATGTAGCTATTGGAAAAATTGGTAATAATATCTAAGGACCTTTGCAATTGCTAAGTCATAAAAAGGCTAAGTGAATACTATTTCTTACTTATTAATGAAATGAATAGAAGCATGGCCATTTTCTCTATGTTCTCTTTTAGGTCCATGTTTGTAGTATTAGATAGTTTAAAAGAAGAATCAGGATCAACTAAAACTATAGCCACTACCTGGTTAACACATTGTGTACAGAGAGGTGATATCAGTCGTGTATTACAACCTATTTTATTGATGTTACTACATCCTGATACGGCCAGGTTAGTTGTGTATTTAAACCTATTTTATTGATGTTATTACATTCTGATACAGCCAGGTTAGTCTTGTATTAAAACCTATTTTATTGATGTTATAACATCCTGATACGGCTAGGATAGTTGTGTATAACCTAATTTATTGTTGTTATAAAATCCTGATACAGCCAGGTAAGTCTTGTATTACAACCTATTTTATTGATGTTATTACATCCTGATACGGCCAGGTTAGTCGTGTATTACAACCTATTTTATCGATGTTGTTACATTCTGATACAACCAGGTTAGTCTTGTATTACAACCTATTTTATTGATGTTATTATATCCTGATACGGCCAGGTTAGTCGTGTATTACAACCTATTTTATTGATGTTGTTACATCCTGATACGGCCAGGTTAGTCGTGTATTACAACCTATTTTATTGATGTTATAACACCCTGATACAGCCAGGTTAGTCTTGTATTACAACCTATTTTATTGATGTTATAACACCCTGATACAGCCAGGTTAGTCTTGTATTACAACCTATTTTATTGATGTTATAACATCCTGATACAGCCAGGTTAGTTGTGTATTACAACCTATTTTATTGATGTTATAACATCCTGATACAGTCAGGTTAGTTGTGTATTACAACCTATTTTATTGATGTTATAACATCCTGATACAGTCAGGTTAGTTGTGTATTACAACCTATTTTATTGATGTTATTACATCCTGATACGGTCAGGTTAGTCTTGTATTACAACCTATTTTATTGATGTTATTACATCCTGATACAGTCAGGTTAGTCTTGTATTACAACTTATTTTATTGATGTTATTACATCCTGATACAGTCAGGTTAGTCTTGTATTACAACCTATTTTATTGATGTTATTACTTGTATTACAACCTATTTTATTGATGTTATTACATCCTGATACAGTCAGGTTAGTCTTGTATTACAACCTGTTTTATTGATGTTACTACATCCTGATACAGCGTGGTTAGTCATTTAACACAAATACAGACCCTGTGGGCTGGGGTGGTGAAATCTTTCGAGATCTCAATTATTTCACTCAATAGGTCCATCCATTCAAGACAGCAGCATTAAGTATTATTACTTATAAAAATGCAAAATGCTAAACACATTTGTCTGAACAAAGTTTAAAAGGTTTTGATGACATTCAACCCCCAACATGATGACAGAACAACCACAGGGAATGTGGGAATATTGTCATTGTCCCAGTCTGTCACTCCAGTTGTTTTGTCTGTCAATTTTTGACACTATATAGTTAAAGAGATGTGACAAGAGAACTAAAAGCATTTACTAACTGATTTTTGTGACAGGGAGCCAAGGAGTTGTTTCAAGAGCTTTTGACAGATATTTTATTGACTTAAGGGAAAAAGATGAAGGAACTGTAATTAATACCAACCATTATAATAATCTATTATTTTGAAAATTTAATACATGAATATGATAATCTTTATTTGTTGCCAATTTTTTATTGTGAATATGTTAAATATGAACAAAAATGGGATTATTTTAATAGAAAGTGTCTTATTGAATATTGACTTGGAAATAAGAGTAAAAAACATTTTAAAGCTCCAACCAGACAGGAAATTACAACCAAATTCTTTTGAATTTGATTTAACCTCAACCTAACTCAATCATTGTTTTACACTGACATTAGTGAAGTTTGTTTAAGAGTAAAATATGTATGTATGGATTAAGGTGATCATTGTTCATGGGTATAGAATTTAATACAGAAATTGAATAGGGTTATATAGATTAAGGATGAATTTTGTTCAGGAACATAAAAGATTTAGACAAAGGTTGAATTCACAGCTTTGGGGTGAGCTGAAATCATTTTAGGGTATAGAGACCTTTCTACACCTGTATAGTTTTGGGGGTGAGCTGAAGTCAGTTGGATAGAATCCTCTCTACACCTGTACTGTATGTTCATTGTGACAGAAGACATCCCAGGGTTCACATCTGGTTGTCATGTCAGCAAAATAACAGTAAAAATTCTTGGATGGAGCTTCTGAAAATTTACAGCATATTTGAGCTTTTACTAGTAAGTTTTTGATTTAGATTTACATCGTTTTCTTATAAATTAACTTTTTTATTTTCAAATACACCTTTTTATTATATGAAATTTTTTAATTTTACATTTCAAAATTGATGATATTATTCATGATTATTTGACTTTAATATGTTCTCTTCAGATTAGACTAATACATATATTAGAAATCCTTATATTCCTCTATTTTATTTTTTTACAGTTCTATGTAGTTATACTCAACATAGATGCAATTTTGTTTGGAATTCATTGTATGGTAGGTGAATAGTTAATTTTCCTAAAGTTTATCAAAAAAGGATTATATATGATAATATAATTATATAATGATATGATGTATGATAATAATAAAGTTGAATATATGATAGGAATGAAGGTTTAGGAATGATTATGGTACAATAAATAATAAAGATGGTGTTATAAAATGTGATAGTAATCAGGCTGAAAGTGGCATTTAGTAATTGGGGTTTGAATATATGAACACAATTTTATGAATAACAATTACCATAATAAATAACTTAGGACGTTTTGACGATGATATTTTTGTCTCTATCAAGCAATGATGATATGTGATAGGAATTTGCCCTATGGTCGCATTTAGATTTTAAAATATCAAATTGGATTCTATATTTTATACCTTCCTTTAGGGGTTCAAATCTACAGACTAGTGCCAGATATTTTTCTTAATTATTCTCAGTTTTCATGTGTTCTATGATTAAAACAGATGTACACCAGGCAAAAGGCTAAGAATTTTGACATTGCTATTCTATTTCAATCAGCTATTATAGTATTGAGTTAATTATAAATTATTGAATATAATATAAACTTATAGAAAAACCAATATTACAGAATATAATTTGGATTACATGTATTATAAGTAATTGTATTATCAGTAATTATTAAATATAAAATTCTGTTCTATCTTATTGATAATAATTGATTTTATATGAATGGTAAAAAAAGCAATAACTCATAACAAAGAAAATACATTTGGTATTAGTAGTTGTGAAATTGTATGTAAAGGACTAAAATGATTAGTAATATTAATTAAAGTTATAATTAGTACAAGATTCCAATCAACAAAGCAATGTTGCTTATTTGTTCAGATGACACTTATTTGGAAATATATGAAATTTATCTTTCCATTACAAGAAAATTTATTCTAGAATTTTAAACATTTTTCACAAAATATTAAACTTTTTATCAAGTCTTAAGTTTTCTTAAAAAACAATAAAATCTTCATCTTGTAAATGCTTTAGAATAAAATAATTAAAATGAAGAAAGGCTTGTTGTTTATATTTATGTATTAGCTAGAAATGATGTACATAATTCATATATTTGCAGATTTCCAATATTAGATGCTAGAAGAAAAAAGGAAATACTAAATTGAGAGGAGAAACAGTAATACATGACAAACAGAATGCAATTGAAGATGGAAGTAGCTTTTGAATGCAGAAGAAGCCTTATTTTTGTGTGTATTGTAAAAATAAA